GAATCAGGACCTTTCTTACCAGAGCAAATTTTCGACGAAGACTGCACTGCAAACACGTTAACACACATTTGATAAAATGACAACACTGCCTTCTGTCGGTAACATACAGTCGCACAGATATCAAGACAAGCACTCGCTATTCTGAGCCTTCATTTATCTGACTTAAATGAAGAGGTGTCTGTGTCTTCTGCTTTAACATTACATTTAACATTACAACTGGGCCATACAGTTCAAATATAAACGCAGAATGCATGACTAATGTGTACTGTGTATAGAGACACCACCGACCACTAGATGGAGACACAACCCGGTAAATTCAGCGTTTGAGGTTGCGCTTTGACCAGGACCTCTTATTTTTTATCACTCCAAAAATGTCAGTAACAAGTTGTGGTACAATTTGTAAGGAAACGTATAGTAATAGAAGAACAGTAACATTAAACATAAGATTTATCTAGAAAACGGATACATTTTAAATGATTTGTGACATTAATTGCAGATACATCGATTAGCCCTGTTGAAAAAACCAGCATATGCTGGTTAGGTATGTTTTGATGCTGGGATGCTGGTTTGTGCTGGTCCTTTGCTGGTTTTAGCTGGTCCTTTGGTGGTTTATGCTGGTCATGTGCTGGCAAAGGACCAGCATAAATCAGCAAATGACCAGCTTAAACCAGCAAAGGACCAGTTTAAACCAGCAAAGGACCAGCATAAACCAGCAAAGGACCCACTTAAATCAGCATCCCAGCGTCAAAACATACCTAACCACTAACCTAAACTGCTGGTTTTTTCAACAGGGAGAGGGGAAAGACAAACAATTTATACCTCTATTTATTCTAGATATTACATGATGGGCTGACAGTCATCCCAGTTCACCCTAGAGCTTTATACTAGATCAAGCAAAATTAACTGTGGGCCTATACATCATTAGAAAATAAAATAGAAATGGTAAAGATCTGTTCAATCATCAAGAACAATTACAGAATATAAGGGAAATGCTTTAGCAAACTTCATCATCCCCTGGGCATGCTGCAATCAAGCTGTGTGAATGAAGTAAATAAATAAAACTGCAATCTAATACTGTGTTTCCTGAGGAGGAATTGTGTGCCACTAAAGTATGCCAAGCTTGAGTAAACGCCAGGGTCAAACAACACAGACCATGTGCAGATGGAGCTAAGCACAGATGTAACCAGAACGATGTGGAGAAATACACATTGTGTTTGTACGGAATTCAATGAATTGCTGTAAACTAATTTAACAGTCTTGTGATGTCATACGTACAGCTTAACTTTGACATTTTTGGAAGTAAAATGTTCCTTTTCTAAAACATATAACAGCTATATGCAACTGGGCCAGGCCTTTGATACTCCCTTAAAAATTTGATGTTGACAAAATTGTGCATCATGGGGGAAGCTCTTGAGCAGGTCACTCTTAGAAAGCTGGGATGTTGATGGGGGGAGGGCTGTATAACCTCTTCCTTCCTCTGAGCTCAATTGCTCCCATAACAGGCGACCTGGGGCCTCTTGGTGGAGTAGTTGTCATCGCCTGTTTCCGGTCTGCAAGTGTGGGAAAGTGGACGAGGCCTCTGCTGAACCCCCCGGCCCTTCTCTCGGCCTGCTTCCTGACCGCCGCTAAATATACCGGGCCTTTTGCTCCGCACGGGCCCAAAAATACGCTGGCGCTGACATCAAACATGTTCTTTCCAAGTTCCTCCCGATGGCTTTTTCGGCCACTGACGTTCTTCCCGCTTGGCAATGGGCTTTACTTTCCTGAATGGTGTGAGGTAGCAAGAATGGAGATGAGAAGCGGGAAGAGGAAATGAAAACTACATGAATGTGGCCCTCTGAGTCAGTGTATTATCAGATCGATTATACAGTGACTGCACAGTCAAGATGCGTATCGTAGAGCTCCTTATGAATTGTGAAGAATTCTTATCTTCGAAACAGTCACATGATGTGCAGAATCGTGACAATATGTGAGTCCAATGCACTTTTTGTAATGCTGTTAGCGAGACAATTACTTCTACTCAGACTTCATAAAATGGGAGGAGAAAAAAAAAACGTGATTCTATCATTGACAATGACAGTGCATTTATGTTCTTCTTTCAAGTAGCATATGATATGGTAAACCATTAATAAATGTAATTATATTAACACTGTTATAATAAACCATTAAATTAACTTTCCTCAAACCAACTGATATTACAATTTCTTCAAACAGGACAGTGAACCACATCTTAAAGTAGTTTGATTTTTTTTGCCCAATATGCCAGTCATTTGTAGGTTTGTGAGTCAGGGAGCAAATGTCCATTTTCCAGTAAACATATGACTACTTTTCAAGCAGTTTCACCTCTTTCAGGCAAAGAATGATCTGATTTCACAGCATTGGGATTGGTATTTCATAACATCATAGTGGATACACGCAACTTAGAAAAATGGCAACCATCAAAACATGTCTAGCTTGACTAGCTTATTAGTGATTTTTAACATTTATATGCTAAATTGTTATCTGTTTTGGAGTATTTGAGAGTAAAAATAAATCAAAAGCAACTGTTATTAATAATTAATATTTTTTACTATATTTATATCATTTATATGTTATGTATATTTTATTATATACTTTAGATTCATGTGTTTACGTACATGAGATGATGAGAATGATCAAAAACATTTTTATTATTATTTAGCAGTTGAATATTAGGTATGAGTTTTTCCTTTTAACTCAGAAGTGGAATGTGCCAGCTACCAAATCTTTACTACCGAAATAACATAATTTACAAATTAATCTCTCTTTGAAAGACTGAATGGACCTAAACTTAACCTGCAGTGGAAGGCAGAAGAGTGAGTACTCAGATTTGATAGAATGCACTCAATAATGTATCCAGCAGCTCTTTCGTCAGTGGATGGTCGGAATTCACCATTCATTTTGCAAGAATTTCAGTTTCACTAAACCTCCCTCTTTGTACGGGCAAAGAGAAGGAAAACATCACCAAGGCTGACTTGACCATCACAGCGGCCGAGACTTCCTGCCCGAGCCGGGCTCCTATTTATGCTCTTGCCTTTCAGAAGGACTGGATGTTTCTATTCTTTGCTTTCCTCTCCTCAGTCTGAGTCACACATCAGGTTTGTTAAGACCGGGATTCTGGTTATTGGTACTGTTCAAGCTGAGTAATCATCCAGGATCTGGTGACTAAAGCTTTTTTGGACTTTGGTACATCCTTCCACAAGACGTAACGGCCCATATGTTAAAAGCATCATTTTATCTTTTGTAGTTGGGATCCTGTTGAACGGATCTGTTAGATGATGGATAACTATTTCCGTTTGCATATAACAGGAAGTTATAAATGGGCCCTCAAATGTGAAAGCATAGACTGATGTGAGTGAAACAGAACAGATAGTGTTTTAGTGCTCTGTCTCCCACATGTGCATCAGTCTCTATCCCTCCTGAAATCTCCCTCGCTTTACCTCCCAGGTCAGTGATCATGTTCAGTCCAAATGATGTGCTCAGCAATTTGCAGCATTTTGAAAAATGCAAGGAATGCACCATCATTTCCTGTTTCCAGCATCCAGCCACCCAGGATTAGGCACACCTACACACAGCTGGCACAGCTTATGCACCTTGAGTCTTTCAATGGATGTATCACAAATATATATATATATATCATAAAAAAGGCTCAGATGTTGCACTTTTATAATTCAGGGTTAATGGAATAATTAATGTGTTTTTTATATATAAAATTCACATTCTTTACATTTCTGCTTTAAAATCATCCAAAATTTTACCTATTCCCCTCACCACTTTTTCTTTCTTTCTTTCTTTCTTTCTTTCTTTCTTTCTTTCTTTTTTAAGGCAATAAGGGCCAATTTAAGAAGGTTTCATAATTAACATTATGCCACAAATTGTGTTGATAGAGCTTAAGTTATTAAATCTGAAATATTCTTTTAAAGCATCAGCTTATATGTTAATAATATAAATTAATTTATGACAAATAAAAAATGAGAAATGAGTCGAATTACTGACATATCTTAGTATTGAGCTACAAATTTAAAGGGGTCATATGATGGGATTTCAATTTTTCCTTTCTCCTCGGTTTTCAGACCGATGAGCTTTGTAAAAATCGATGCGTTTCAGAAAGGCGGGGCATAGAGGAGAAACAATAATGTACAGTATGTGGAAAATAATGTGTTTTTAAACCTTAAACCGCATAAACACATTTCATTACACCAAATACACAAAATAATGTTCTTTTTAGCAGCATCATATGACCCCTTTAATATGGATTGCTTAGCCCTGGAAAATTTTGATTAAAATGTTTCAAATTGATATCATATATCAAAATCTTGGCAAATCTAAGCACAGTTTTGTGAAGTTGAGATCTTTTCTGAAACTTTAGAGAAACATGAGATTATTTAGGTCTTTTTCTGAGAATAAAAACAATGTGTGGTTTTTATTTCTTGTGGTCTCACTCATTATTAATTGCTACAAATGACAAGAATAGATTATGTGGATTGAAATCATTACACATCACACATATATACACACTCATACATTTTATCCCATCTTCCCCACCGTGTCTGACAGTGAATGTCTCCCAAATTCATAAAAACGGACTCAGTCTAAAATAATGTGGGGCAGCCCTCGAAGGACCTGGGTCAACTCTATCACTGTGAGAATCTCTCCCTTCTTGCCCCCAAGGGAAATGTAAAACAGCTCTCTTTTTTTAGACAGCGGAACACAAGAGGATATTGGATCACCACAATCGAGAACATCTGCAGGGAGATTTTGCGCCGCTCATTCCCCTGCATGTGCATGTATGTATGTGTGTGTGGGGGTTGGACAGGAGGGGGCCGTTAAGTGAGAAACACACAGATGATGATAGAATCATGTTACAGAAACATGCATGTATCGCATTCAGCACATGCTATCTTGTCCCTCAGAGGCCACACAAACTTTGTACAGATATGTGCTTACTCTCTGTTTCTCTCTCTCTTACACATACACACACACACACACACACACACACTAATGCCCTTTAATGGTAGTGCAGTGTGTGCTGCTTCCCTGGCTGGGGCCAAATAACAGATATTATCCTCATCATAGTTTGGCCTCTTTGCACGGCTGTTGCAAGGGCCATCAGAGAGTGCTGAGAAAAACACAGCCACTCGATATGCGCACAACTGGGAGAGAGAAGAGCTCAGCATTGCCGCTGTTGAAATGACAGGACTGCATGGATCGAGCAAGGGCAGATCTATATTACAGCTGCAGCAGTAGATCCATACTGCCATTGATTGACTGGGGAAGCACACACAGGAATATGCATGTAGGCCATGGCATGGAGAGGTAAAAATATCCAAAAAAAAGTTACAGATGTGGGTTGAATAATCTGAGTCTGGCACTGAGAAAGACTTACAAAAAAAGTACTGTTGCTGTACAGATGGTATCAAATGACTAGCACATTCATGATAGTTGAGTAGTTAACATGACATACTTTTGTTGACTCGTTCTATAAACTATACGCAAACTTAAACAACATTTAAAACTTCATAAACATATAACATAATATTATGCATGCAGCTTTTATGACTTCATTATAATTATCAATAGATTACATAGAATATTTGTATTAATTTAAAAATCAATTTAAAATTAACTGGTGAATGCAAACAATCTATCTATCTATCTATCTATCTATCTATCTATCTATCATGTACATACATACATATGTAACTATGCATTTGATATATTTTATTAATGTAAGTTTTAGAATGAATGATATATTATTTTTATTTTACATATATTTTATTTGATATTTTAAGATATATTTATACTTGAAAATAATTTTAATGTTATTTTTCGTAAACTATAAAGCAAGTCTGTGATGTGTTGTTCCAATTACTACAAGGTCTATGTAGTAGACCCCTAAAAAAACAAAACAATAATACCACAGTACCATATCAAAGAAAACATGGTTATTCTACTTTTTTGTAAGTGGAGATAAATAAACAGAATAAGGGAGGGGAAAAAAACAAGAGAAAACGTAGTGAAAAGGAAAGAAACATGGCTTAAAACACACAAGCTTGAGTGGGAGCTGGAAGAGCAGAATTCCAGAGACTGGAGAGCCGTGGGGCCGGCAGCGGAAGTGTGCTAAAGCTCTCTCCAGTGACCCCTGACCTTGCAGATACCATTCCCATCAACTCCTCCTCCAGCTGTCTGCACTCAGCCACCCAGCAGGCCCGCAAACAGTCCTCCTCCTCTCCTCTCCTCCCCCCACTCCTTCCCTCTTTCTTCCCTCGTGCTCTTCCTTCTCCCCCGCCGCACATCACTCATCCACCACACCATCCTTTCATCAAGTACAGTCCCACCTCAGCTCAAAGCATGATATATATATATATATATATATATATATATATATATAATAATCTTTATACGATTTATATTAATAATATAGATATGTTTTAAAATATTAATCACATTACTATCACTATTTTATTTAGCGATTTAAAAATGTGTATCTCTCAAGGGACAACGGGAAGAAACTGCCAAACTGCCTTGAATTTCAATGTTGAAAATGGTTCGGTGGGAACTTGTTAACAGGAAGGAAATCTCCCATCTTTCCCACCATCTCAGTGCACACATATAAGACGAGCAAGATACATAGATCTCAGCCAACCCAACATTAAAACACACTTCACATACTTTAACACAAACACCGCCAACTTCTAACCGATCACCACAAAACAGATGGGCCCTCGGCAAGCCACCAGAAAACTCTGTCGCAGCCGTGGCGTGATATAGCAACGTGATCTCATGATAATTCGTATGTATTTTACGTAAAATGTGGTTCTATAAAACGTTCATTTACTTACGTTTTACAGGCACTAAAACGTACAATACTGACGTATTTTCAGCATTTAAACATACAAAACTGACGTATTGACGACACCTAAAAATAAATCCTTATGAATATTGAAATCGCTGCATTAATTTTATTATTAGTTGTTTTTAGTTGTCATATCAATTACCTTGTTTTCAACTGTATTATTAAATTGTTTACTCGTTTACTTAATATGAAATATTAACATTTCGTTTTGTTGTGTGATTTCTGCTGCCAGCTCGTTTCCAAGAATAGGCCTAACGTACATAATGTTAAACAAGACTACACTTTAAAAGCCCTTAAAATAAATAACATTTCTGCAATCGTTTAACCTTTACTGTCATGTAATGTTTACTTTGTTTGCCATGGGCCACAAAAGCCGTTTTCTCCGACATGCTGTGACTGACAATAGAACTATAAAATACACCAAAAATGCAACATAATTACGAAATTAAACAATTTTATTTGTGCGCTGTAATCCAAATTTTCAGAATCCATACAACTGCGAGGAACAGACCCAAATCCAAACCTTAATTCGGCGATCCTCATCTCTATCCCGAGCAGCGAGTCCAGTGACCGTAAGCAGCAAAGCCAGCGCTGACTGACCCGTTCTTTACAAATTCAAATGTTGCCTTCTTCTTCTTCTTCTTCTTCTTCTTCTTCTTGGTTTTTAACGGCGGCTGGCACCAACGCAAATAGGTGCATTACCGCCACCTTCTGCTCCGGAGTGTGAAACAGAGTTTTAAATTCTATTTACCAACCCTGTATCTCTTATAAAATCAAAGAATACATTACTATTTTTCAAATGCTGCCGCTTCAAAAGACAGGTTTTACGGCAGAATAATCGAACGCTCATTGGCTCTGGCCTGCATTCGTCACAGATTGCGACATGCCGTGTTTCTGGTGAGGTGTGTTTGAATGATGCGCGCGCGCCTTCACGAGTTCATGGAGTGGAGCGGGAAAATAATCTGGATAATTAACAACATAATTTCATGGCGATTAACAACATAATTTCTGCTTTGCACCTCAAATAAACCTACTGTATTCCGCCAGAGAGGACTACGGCTGCAACGCATCATCAATTGGATTACTTTTGGAACTGCTTTTGACATTTTTGTAATTGCTTTTATCTGTCTGTCATGTTTTTCTTATACTGTACAGAAATAGTTATGTTTAGGTTTAGAGGTAGGAATGGGATTAGCGACTATAAAAATATTTGAATGCTATATGTTACTAAAATGGTTATTTTCCTGCATATTTCGGTCAATTGCGTTTTATATCCTTTTATATTCGCTATAAAATGGGTAGGTTAAGAGGTAAAAAAAATCTAAATTGCTTATTAATAAAATGATAAAAATGCATATTCGCTGTAAAATGGGTAGGTTTAGGTTTGGGGGTAGGTTAAGAATCCGTTTCTCACCAAACCCTCAGTATACCTTCAGAATGCTTGGAATGTACACCACGAGATGCATATGATTATTTTACGAGAGATATGCATGCGCTTAAAAACAAAAAACAAAACCTAGTCACCATTCTCTGCCATTAAATTGGCAAGTGCGAGCAGGACATTTTTGTGTTATTAAGTAATAAGCCTTTAGAACAACATTAAGGTGAGTAGTCACTCTAGTTCACACAGTTCCAATAAATTGCGATGGGTTAAATAAACTCAATAAGCAGACAGACGCGACTACAGTCAAGTGCAGAAGTGCACAGGAAATAAGCAGCAGTCATATTTAAAGCTGGCTCCGCTCTGCCCCGGCACTGTGGCCCTCCTTAGCCCCTTTCAGCTCTCTCTGGCGCCTGCTTCTCCATCACACCTCCACCTGTCAACGGCTCCAGCTCTCCCCCAGCCTCTGAGGCTCCAGCACCCCCCAGGGTGGCTCAGGGCCGCACTGCCACCAGTCTCACCTTTTGGGAGCCACCGTGCTGTAAGTAACCATGTGCTCAGAAATGGCTTCTGTTACTTATTTCAATCTGATGAGTGTGCAAATAAGGAATCCAGTTGATCTAATATTTAGTGTTTGCGCTTTATATGACAAGGCAAAACATTAGTTTACATGTGGTGAACTAATGCAAGGCACTGCAAAAAATATCATTTTTGAACTATTACAAAGGAAAACATCTAATTTTAGAATAAGGCCGCTTTGATATTGCTCAATTATGTAAGTGATTTGTAAGCCCTAATGCTGCTTCTTTTAAGAGGAGTGTTTTTACATTTGGATTAGGGTGGTTTAGAAAAGGTCCGTTTTCACACACCGCTGCACTGTGATTGACATATGCATGAAGCTCTGATTGACAGCTTCTATAGCTCCATCCCTGACCCCTGGAGTGTCCTCAATGGTGCCTGTCCCCACCGGACAAGGGCCACATAGGGGGACTCAGTGGTTACAGAGGCCATGAGGTCAGAATGGTAAAAGATCAACCAACCCCATCCCTTCTTGCTCTCTATTAGCTGGGTTAAAGGTTAAGAAAGCAAAGAGCATCCCTCCAGAGTCAGTTTCTTCTTGAGTGAAGAAGTCTTTTCTGACTTTTAACAGTACTGGTGCACAGTATTCCATGACGCATCTTGATGAACCCTGCTTCATTGCACATAACCACTTGTTTGAGCATACGTTTTAATGGAACAACCCAAACTAAATTACATACAGTAATTAAAAACCATAATGCAAAAAATAAAAAACTTCATAAACACTAGCGTAACTCTAGAGTTTACTCTTGCATGTTTTTATGAGCCAAATTTGAATATGCGCATACATTTCAGTCTGTTTCTCACACAAAGCTATTGTATAGCTTTGGAAGACTTAGAATGCTGTTTGCAAGTCTTTTAAAAGGAATTTATGCTATATTTTTTAATATTTCTGCAAGTCATGCAGGTTTGGAATTAAATGAGGGTATGTATATGACGACATAATTTTCAGTTTTTTTGATGAACTATCCCTTTAAGTAAGTTAAATGAATGCTACACTATCAAAAACGGTGTATCTCCAGACACCAAATTGATGTATGTACTCTATATCTTAATGCACATACACATAAAGGGAATACTGGATCTGTATTATTCATGCAGCATCTTCTTATATAGACAAAGCCTAGAGAAAGGATGGGATATTGAGATGTTGGGGTACAGACTTAATGCTTCTGAAGCTCTGGAAAAATGAGGCATGGTAGTGTGACAGCCATTACACACAAATGGTGGTACGTACACACACCTTATACACACTCTCACACTTCTGAAGCAACTCACGCTCTGTCTCATAGACTCACTCATACACACACACACACACACACACACATCTCTAGTCCCTCTTTTCCAAGGCCATTAGTACGAGATGGCCTTGATTACTTATTTATGAGGCAAATAGGCAGAAGTGTGGAGAGTGGAGTAAAGAGACAGACAAAGACCGGAACCCCTCGGCACTGAAACTAACATCCATAAGTGTCCACACATATATTTGCTACTTCACAGCAGTTTTTTTTCTAAACAGATCACTTACGCACTTAATAACTCCTTCAGGCATCTGCAGAATAGCAGTGTGTTTGCACTAGTGGTAAATACCACAAAACTACAGATGCAACTAGACTCAGCAATGCAGCTGTGGGTGTCGTGGGCACTTTAAAAGTCCTGCATAGTTCAGTAAAGCTAAAGATGGATTTTACCTTCCCTAAACATCTTGAAATTTAAATTGACACATTTTCAAATTCATACATACGGTATAGTCAAACCATTTATAGAGATGTAAAAACAAGTCTTGTACACAGAATATTTCAAAATGTTTTATTTATTATCCATGGCCTTATGGCCACACCCACCAGTCCACTCTGAAAAAACTGAAATCATCACATGGGTCTTTTCATTTAATTTCTTTTCATCATTCACCCGAAATAAATATATAGCTTTCCTTGCAACAATTTAAATAAATATCTGTGGCTTTATGATAATATCAGCAACAAAAAAAGTGTAAAATGTATATATATATATTTTATATATATATAATATATATATATATATATATGTTTATATATTCTTCCTTAATTCTTTTACAACTTACAAGATGCCAATTGTACCAAAGCAATACTTACTAATACAACATGGTGAACTTTTAGTGGTTAACTCAGAGACTGTGGACAGCACCAGTTAGGCATTCTTGTAAATTGTATGTACCTACACACTGAAACCCCACATCGTGGACCCTTCTTAGAGAAGCCATTCTTTTGGGATGTGACTGTGGAGGAGAGGTATCTTCTCACTATTTCACCCAGTGAAAGCTTGCCTCTGATAGTAATGCATGTTTTCTGCTCTCATGCCAATAAATATTGTATTGGTAAAACAAAATATGATTGGCTCTTCAAGCTTGTGTGTAACCTAAACCAGTAATGGCATAACTTGTCAGACATTTTATCTGTATGTAATTGTTGAAAAGTATATTTCAGGCTGTTTAGGTCTTGTCTGAACACCACATTTAAATCAGTTTTGAGCTAATTATTTCTGTAGCAATTTATGATAATGGATACATGCAACCAAAGGGAGCCCAGTTATTAAGATTTTGTAGGGTAATTTACAGTACTGCGGTGGAACACTGTGCCATGCACAAGGGACCTCTCCTCCACAATACAAAATCAGTCTTATGGTTAGTCTTAAGAATTAGCCAGGTATCTGACAAGGTTAATGTCCAACAGTAATAGAAAAAATGGCAATAATAACCAGATTAAAACAAATGGAATAAAAATACAAATACAATAAGAATTCTATGTACATACAAAAATATAGCGAAGGATATATTCGGAACTCACAAAGATGTGCATATTATTGGGGAAGAACACACACACTTGAAACAGATTTCATTCAACTTGCTTCCCAGTTTTGGATGTCAGTGCATCTGTTTCACCTTGTTCCCAAGTGTTGTATTCTACCTCGTTCTGGCCAGGTGACTAAGCCCTTGTCTCAATACAATCCCTTCTTCCTGTCAGATGACACAATAGTCTCCATTAACCTCATTTCCTGTGAATCATTCAGGGCCAACCAGAGAACCTCAGGAAAGGACTTAGAGATGCTAATGTCCCATGTATGGCATAACTGGGGAACCACAATGGCTTCATTTAGCTGATGCTGCTCGGATCTGATGTTAACCTAAAGCATGGTCCTACAGGTTGTCTGGTCAAGTTGTCCAAGAGCTCTCAAAGTAATGGCTTGTATCTCATCCTGAGAGCACTGTCAAAGTTGGACAGACAGTCCCTTTTGATGTTTGGTCCCACAACGTGGTTGGATGCAGAAACAGTCAAGTTATCTATCGCTGTTGTTGAGCAGTTGGAAAGCACTATGGGCAGCAGTGGAAAAGAGAGTTGAGGATGTAAGAGTGCTTGGGAGAGGTTGGCGTCAGGCTGCCCTGGGCTGGAAACCTGACCAGACACTTTATCTTTCAGAGTAGCTCCTCTAAAAATAAAAAGAGAGGCTTCTGCTGACAGCAGATGCCGGCCTGAGACTGCACACACATACACACACACACACACATTTGTCCTTCTTCTTCCTTACCACACACTCATGCGCACAATGTCTCTCTTTACCGCCGTTCTTGAAACACATCCCTCTTAGGTGAGCTTAATATTCTGATTTTTGTATGGTCCCGTTTTTGGTGTCAAACAGAATTGACTTACATAGTCTGATTTTTGTTGTTGTTGTTGTTGTTGGGCTCTTCTCCCTAACCAGCGCCCTGTATCCGTGTAGAGTCTAGAGTAAGCCATCTTGCTTACAGTTTTTTCATTCAGTAAGGCTGAAGAAGACAGACTCAGCGCTGACTTCTGTTGACAGCTTCCCATGTCTAGACGATCCTTTAACCCAGTACAGCCTCTGCATTAATTCTGATAGCGTACTCCCCGTATGTTACATACGGTTCACATTACCCAACTCTATCCTGGAAGTCTAATAAATAAATAAATAGACACGGATTTACTAAAAAAAGAGGGAAGTAGGATACATGATGATGGACATGATGCAGGGAGACCTGATTGGTTTAGAGTAGGTCAGTTCATTTAGCAGAATTCCCCGGCTGCTTCAGCATCAGAGGTGTCTCCTCGAGGGAGGATTGCAAGAGGCTCATTCATGATGTCATACAGGCTTTTCCAGGGTTTTACGAAAGGGCACGGAGTTGGTGGCAGAGATCTTGCGGCACACAGCGTTGGTGTTGCTGCATCGACAGCCGGGACGGGTGGCGCGATCATAGCCACGCTGGCACAGAGTGAGGCACAGCTTGGCAGGAGGGTAGCAGCACAGGCAAGGCAGGCAGAGTGCCAGGAAGGCCATAGCACTCCAGCGGGAGCAGGCGTGAGCTGGGGCGCAGGAGCACGGTCGGTCGGCACAGTTGTCCTCCTTATCTGCCGAGCAGTGGTAGAACAGACCCTTCACACAGCACAGGCAGGTGCCGTACTCCAAGACGTTTTCTGCAGAACACAAGCAGCGCTGGCCACAGGTCCAACAGGAGGGCAAATTACGTGGGGCACAGCACTCCTGGCACTTGCAGTGGCCACAACGTTCACAGATGAAGAGATGAAGGCCCAAGTCCTCACCGTCAGCCAGTCCTTTGCCCAGCGACTCGGGTTTCATGTCACCTTTGGGCTGGGACCTCACTACAGCCGCTAGACCAGAATGGGAAGGCGTTAATCCAGTAAGAAGTCTCTGATCCGAAGCAGCACTGCCACGGGACATGGAGCTCACGGTACTGGAGCGACTTACGTGGGCTAAATGGGAACGTTGGTGCTGACTTTGACTGCGAGACATCTGAGGGTGTCGTTCATCGTGTGTATAGATGACACCAACCTGAGAGGCAGGCTCCATTGCCACAGGGCGTTCCACATAGCCATTAT